AAAGAAAGGAGAGCTCAGGAGGCGTGTGTGAGACTCGCTGAAAACTACAGCAAACCGCTGCAGGCTGTAATCCAGCAAAAGGGCCACAGAACTGATGATCAGCACTGGGTGTGCTGATGATTTTAACCCTGGCACCTTTTGTTTCTGTGTGAAAAGTGAAATAATTTAATCATCCAAAATAAAACCAGGATATTTGGAAAAGCTGTGCTAAAAAAAAATCTGTGCTCTGTTTGACAGCATTTGGCAAATACTTAAAAAAAAAAGGAAATTTAAGAATAATTCTGCTTTCCTCCTATTCGTTACTGATTCTAAACAAGCATGCTGGGAATGCACCAGTTGAAAGTTGATGACTTATTAATAGATGAAACTGTATACTGTACACATACACACATGAAAGTACACATTAAATACTGTCCACTTAATCTTTTGTCTCTGATTTTTTTTTTTTTTTGATATATCTGTTTATGATAATCAACTAAGAAACTCACTATTTCCTTACTGTCACTCCGACACATGAACATATGCACGAACACATGCATGCAAGCACTGACACAGTCACTTGATAACCTTTTACTTTGCCCACCCACCCACTCACACACACACTGGTTTTCTACAACAATAACACACTACATGTGCTGTGGATTCAATTCACTGCCTTCTCGTTCTTCCAGCTCAGATTTAAACTCCCAGTTAGATGAAACACATGTTTCAAACAGCTTCAGTAAATTCAAAGAAAAATACTTTGGCATGAAAATGTGACATAAATAGCAAACAGCGAAATGAAGAAAGCAGCATAATGAAGCAGGGTTACGTGATTAACACTAATTCTAGGAGTTTGGGATAAGTTACAAAATTAATGCTTGTGCTTAAATAAACCCAAATGGGTTTTTAGCTTTGAGTATTTTTACTTTGTCCCCCTTCAGAAGTCATGCTTAGAAATGAGGGAAATGAAAAATCAAATGCAGCTGCTTCAGGTCCCAGGACATAAGTTGCAGGCTCTGGGCCGCTTTGTTGCTTTGAGGCCCTTTTCAACTCATTAAAAGTGTTTTTATTGGCATACCAAGTCCACCTGTGAGTCATCCAACTCATGATGGCAACTTCAATGCATAGCCAAGTGCAAAGGTCACCGTTAAACAACAGTAACTCATAGGAGCAGGCAATGTCAAAAATGAAATCTGCACGGGTAAAATGCAGAGGAACAAAGCGCGGCCATGTTAATGTGACATTTGCTGCCCTCGTGGTGCGTCTTTTTCATTTATCAACTGACACTCGTGACATTCATTGACCACTGTGGTGTTATCTTCCAGATCAGATGCCCTTTAAATAAGAAAAAGGGCTTCGAAACGTGGTGTTTGTTCTAGGTGTATATTATTCTCACTGTGTTTCCAGGGGTTTGAGCTCCAGAGTCTAAATGTGCAAATATATATAATCCCTTACGAGCATTTGTTATCCATACTCTCAGAACATTTAACGATGCTCCCTGGGAGTGTAAAATAAATAAATAAATAAATAAATCACACTCTAACAGGGGTGTGGGCCCACTTTTGTGGTTGGATTTGTGGTTTCTCCATAAGAAAAGAGGTATGTGGGAATCTGTGCAACCATTAAGGCCTTCCTGGACTGCCCAACAATGAGGCAGCGAAGGAGGAATAAGTGGTGTTTGATCCTATCAACCAACATCTGGCCTACAGGAGGAGCTAAAGTTAGCAGCCCATGCTGATGTCATTAGGGTAAAATAGCAAGTATACTGGCAAAGGCACAGTGTTCCCAACATGACAGCACTGTTAGTGTAGTAGGGAGGTGGCAGAGATGAGGACAGATTATACCTGCTGGTGATTATGTAACTGACTCATCTTCATGTCCTTTTAACAGCTGATCTCTTTTGTCAGTCTTCAGCTCCTAGGCTGCTGGAGTTAGCAGGGAGGCCTCCTGGGAGAGAATGAGAAATACAGGGTGGATCAAGGCTGTAACAAAGCTTTTTAGAGTTTAATCAGTTCCACTCATCGAGAGTTGCTGGCCCCATCTGTCCAATCAAGTCCCATTTCCATGGCGGGCTCCTGGCTCCAAAGATGGCTACAGTACTGTCAGCCAGACTTTGATAGGCAACTCTGTTTCGAGGACCACCACCTCATCAGAGACTTGTGGTTCTTGTGTGGGTTTCTTTGGAACCTCTATCGGCCGGATCTCCTCGCTGATGTAATCAATAGCTCTGGCATGTGTTAATCATTAATAAACTGCTGTGGTCAGGATGATTTAAGCGCTGAGAGCACTCTGATATGATAATGTCATTAGATGTGGGTTGTTTAGCTCCTTAGGGAAGTTTTTTATTTTCATGTCCTTTTTGTGTGAGATCATCGTTTTGGAGCTCTTTTCAGTCTGGGACAATGAAGAAAAAGACTCCTAGCTAAACATTTAAGCAAGCCCATCCTAAATGATAGATATGTGTGGCACAGAATTACAACATCGATAGGACCCATATCAATTCAGTAAGGCTACGTTCACACTGCAGGTGTTAATGCTCAATTCCGATTTTTTGATCGAGTCCGATTTTTTTGTCTGCTTGTTCACACTACAAATAAAATGCGCCAGCAAACGCTCTCTAGTGTGAACGCTCAAAGTGGCCCGCATGCGCAAAAGAAGACGTCACACACAACGCACTAGACCCAGAGCAAACAGTATTGTTTGACTGATGGCCCTTAATATAAAGACTTCGGACTTTACGTTTCCCAATTTTTGCTTTAAGTTATTTTGTTATTTACATAATAATGTAGATAACCTAATAATTATCCTCATTGCTGTTTTAGAGGAGAGGTGCTTCAAAGGAAAGTTGCAGATTTCTGTCAGAATCTGCAGATTATACAGTACAAATAACATGCTCACGTTTCTCCAACGTTGTCTTCCCAACAGTGTCACTGACATCTACGCTGGATGGCCAGGAAGCCTTCGCGATGTCTTCTCGGGCGCTTCTCCTGAGTTGATAATTGGCGTCTGTCTTGTGTCAGTGACGTAAAAGACGGATTTAATGCGACATTACCATCAAACAGCAGTCGCTTTCTAAAACATTGGATATGTATCAGATTCAGTACCACATACGAACGTGACCCAGATCGGATTTGAAAATATCGGATTTGTGCTGTTCACACTGTCACACCATGATCGGATATGGGTCGCATAGGGTCATAAAAATCGGATTTGATGCGCTTTCGCCTGCAGTGTGAACGTAGCCTAAGTCTTTACTCGACCAGTACCTCATAGGAGCTGGGTACAGTAACTTAGATCACCTCACAAACCTAGCTACAACGAGACACTGACCTCCTACACCGTGAGAGAAGAGTGAACATTTAGGGTCAGGGGAGTGTGTGCTCCAGTTGCATTCCATTATGTTATCATCACAGACATTACATTCAATGTTATTACTAGAAGCAGCAGCTTCTTTTTTTGGTCTTTTTTCTTTAAGAGCAGCCAGAAAAGCAGAGCCTTTCCAGCTCGATCCCTCAGTCTAGCCAAGAAAAACCAAGTCTAATCCTCTTCTCCTTCCTCGGTGTCCAACCTCACACACAACTCACAGTAAGGCCTTACCTTTGCCACGTCTTTCTTTGTCATAAACCTCACCTGTCAGTACTCTAATTTCTTCATCTCTCTTGCTTTTCTACTCTTGTTCATTTAGATGAAAGATGTCAGTGTGTTGGTGTATCCATAACACACTGGTTAAAGATGCATATTTTTGCGAAGTGGACTCATTTTTTAAATTCTGCACTATTATTGTCACAATTCAACTTCACATCGCAACTACTCAGTATTTTTATTCCTTGTCCCCCTGGCCCACATCTTGAGACATTGTCCCACATTCTGACTGGCTCGACGGGTCATGCACTTTTCTAAAATCTGGATTTTACCCAACACATGTGAAGGGAAGGCTTTTTATTATAGGGAAATAAAGGATAACCAGTCTAAAGTTACATAAAGCTTTGCAGATTTTGCTGAATATGATGAAAACTACCTCAAAGAAAATGAAGCAGCAGTACATACTGAGAAATATTTTTTGCAGTGTGTCACAGGAGAGAATATAGTGCTAAAAAAATAGCGTAAAGTGGCACAGTATGTTTGACATAATAGGCTAAACACTGCTTAAGTTGTCAAATATGGCTCAAAAAGATTTGCCAACTTGTACTATCATCTTCGTCCCCATGACAACTGTTGCTGCGTCTAACAGTACTTCCACTTAGAAACTAAGATTCTCTACAGTTCAGTTTCAGCTATGTGGTGGACACACAAAAGACCTGTAACAGCTTGCAACAGAATTGAAAAATATGGTATGTCGTATTTATTTTTTCCCCTTTTGCTTACAGAGTTAAATTACCAAATGCTACTCGTTAATTGTGTTCAGCAAAGCCAATCACAAAGGCTGAATGCTAAGGCTAAGCACCCGGCGTATGTTTAACACCCTGTCGGTTAAAAGACTACCTCCAGCTGAAGTCGGGCAAAACGTTTAACATACGTTTAACGTACGTCGTGTATTCAGCGTTAAGTAATGTCTAGTTTCCCTTTTACATTTTGTACTATTATCCACTTTAGTAACGCGTGTATAAACTTATATGTGCAACATATAAAGCTTCAACTTTTCATACACATTTAATATTCGTTAAATCATATCATTGAAGAAGTAGGTGACTAAACCCAGCTGTCATTGCTCACACGTACATTTTTAAAAAAATCCTGCTCGAAAGAGTGAGAACACAGGATTTCCTGGTTCCGGGGTACCTCATCCACCCAGAGATCCTCCAGAGCCCAAGCCTTCAACTCGTCAGAAATACAATGTCTTCAAAGTGGGAAAGGCTCTATGAGAGATCAGAGGGGAATATTCTCTGAGACAATCTCTACATTAAATTCCAGGTAAAGGCTTCTCTGATTCCTCTAAAATGACTGATTGTTGTTGCTCTAATGAGAAACTCTTGACTAATTGCTTATGTGTATGCGGTTTGTACACCTAATGCCCAGCAGGTGTCAGAGCCTCAGTCCATGCTGACATTTGGTCATAACTCACGGGAGGGTGAGTTGTGCTGTATGACATTTTAGACATCTGATATTTTATTGTTGCATCGATTTTTTTATTTTAAATCTAGAAAAAAAAATCCCAAAACATTTTGTGCTATCTGTAAAATCTGACTTCTGTTTACTTCAAAAGCAGTCGCCAAGACTCCACCTCATCGGCCCAGATGGGCTGCTGAGGATTGCCTTGTACCACATGTACAACATAATTCATTCTTCTCGGAGAATCCATACTTTTGCCCGGGTGGAGATAAACCCAAAGTCCAAATACCCTACAAAACCCGTCCTGGCTCCATCCCCCGCAAATTAGCGATAGAGAGGTGTGTACTATTTTTGTGTACTACACATGGCATCTGCTGCTGTAGTCATGGTTATTTTGAATACTGTAAGACCAGATTCAGTGGTCACGTCTCATATAGTGTGCAATACATGCTCATTTTTCCTTTATTGTACAGCAGCTTTTAGTAGAGTCATTAAGTTGTTTTATCTCAAAGTCCTGCTGTGAAATAACTGCGTCTTTATATACTGTGTTGCTAACAGATGTCGAAGGGAATACTTACATTTACATGTTGAAGAGCTCCTGGCAGAAAAGGGCATAGATTCTGATCTCTTATTGCCAAGACCATTGAAAAATAACACCATACCAGACGGTCCTATTTCGCTGTTCCTCCCACTGGAGGTGAGCCTGTTACACAACTGTCCAATCAAGTCCCTCTTTTTAGACTTTTTTTTTCTCATTGCAATACTTTCCATATTTATATATAATGTTATATACACCAAACTTTCCCATGTTTTTTATTAAGCTGTTTGACAATGAAGAATATGACTGCCGGACTCCAGAAGACTGGCTTGCTTTGGGCAATGCTGAAGGATCACCTGATCGAAAACCTATTCCTGGAAAAGCCCTGCTACCTACAGATGATGAAATTGCAAATGGTAAAGTATCATGTAGCTGCTGTATTGGGTGCTGCGCTTGGAGTTGGAGCTTGGCCTCCTAATGTCTGTAGATCTATGTAGGCAAAGGTCAATTTAAAATCAGTGAATCAATGAATCTTCAGCCGTTTTTTTAAATGGTGTTTAGTTTGTTACAAATGATACTTAGGATATAGTTTATCTGTAAACTGCATTTCAACAATGTGTGGTGCTCATGTTTTTTGGCACTTTTTCTTCCTTTTAATCCTTTTTTGGGATTAATTTAAGATATTCATTAAAAGGTAATGAGAAGCAATTTATAAGTGGCCATACAACAATACAACACAGACACCAGTGAATTTAGAATTAAATGTAGTAATGTGTTATTAAATCCCTCTTTTCTGTTCTTTTGCAGATGAGTCTGCAAGCGCGAGCCCACCTCCGAAGTACAGCTGGCATTTAGTTGGAATTCTTGATTACTGTACGGAGAAATGTCAGTATCTGGTAGAGAAGGTCCACCAGACAGACAAAAAAGGAAGTCCTGATATAAGTGAAGAGCATAAGGAGAGTAAATCCCCTGGTTGGTTTCAATGTTTTTAAACTGTTGTAACTCTAGAGTGTTGTCTCTTCATCTCTCTCTCTGCTGTTACTGACCATGTCATTGATCTGTCGCCCTCTTTCTGCATAGAAACAGACTCTTTCATAGCAGGCAGTAAGTACTGGATACCCAGGATCAGACTGTTATTCTGTGCTGAAGACCCACGTGTCTTTGTTGAGCGGGTCGGGTTTGCCCTGCGCTACAGAGAGGAAACAGAGGCACTTATTTTCTACCACTTTTCAGTGGACTGCATGCCCATCTCTAGGAAAACACCGTCTCTCAATACTGATAGTCTCCAGAGTATCAAACGACGTGCCCTCTCAGCTCCTGGCCTTAAGCTGAAAAAGTGAGTGATATCCTGTCTTATTAATTCTATATGATCTGCTTTTTTACTAACTAACAGGATGGATAAATGCAATATTGTGTGTGCAGTTTAGAGACGTGTGTTGCAGGCTTGGAGAATGAGGTCAGACTGGATTATGACCGTACAATGAACCGCTTGATTTTTGACAAAGTAGTGATGAGCTGCCCTGAAGACCTTTCACATATCACCCTGCCACAGAAGGACCCTGAATATGTGCCCTCACAAGGTAAGATATTTTGCATTATGCACTTACTGGTCACTCAGGTCATAATTAAGGAAATGTAGCATCTGCTAACACCTTCAGAATCAAAACACTGTTGTGTTTTATCTATGCAGGGTGTGTTCCGGTTCCTTACTCTGCCTATGAGGCAAATCGAGCTGCATTTATTTTCAAGTCCATGCAAACTAGGCCAGAGCTGATCTGTGTGCTTTCTGAAATGTGGCATGAGTGCAAAAAAGTAGAAAACATGAGGCTGTTCAACTTGATGTTGGGTAAACCACTTCCATTGGATCAATTTGAACTTGACCAGTCTCAGACGCATACTCAGGTACTGTTGCACCGAGAGAGTATCAAGTAAAAACCTGTGTTTACCGGCCGGGGTTGCTAAATAGGGCAAATTAGCCTGTGAGTGCAATCCCCAAATAGTGCTGATAGTTTTGGTCATTTTTATGGGTAATTTACAAAAGTTGTGCTGTTTGCAAAGCACAGACATTTCATTTCACTATCAAGTGCAAAAAAGTTTCAGATTCAATGTTAAATATTGGCACAAATAGCAATAAATAGTGAGTTGCAAGTGTTAGTAAATCTGTTTGCATACTTGATTTAGATATTCTCTGTGTTTTGGGCCTTAAGAAAAAAACTCCCAGACATCCATATGCAACAGAGTTAGTCGCAATAATCTCAGACTTTTCACCTCTAACATGCAATTTTGCCACTGCGTGATCTTTTCAAATTTCAACAGTACTTTGTTTTTACACCAGAAATGAGTTTGCTCTGGCAAATCTGGCTAAATGTCTTCATATCCCTTTTTTGTTCTGACTTGAAGAACAGTCAAACAAAAACATACATCTTAGCCATATAAACAAGATAGCGTCTGTAGTTATTTAATAAGCTCATAGGAGATTATTCATTTTGTTTCTACAAGTTTACCAATATAAATATCTTAATCTAACCTCTCTTTCCTTATCCAGATAACCCTGTTTCTTAGAGATAACTGGACCAGCACACTGTGCAACAGCATCCGGTACAACCTTGCGAATATGGGCAAGGGAACATACAACATAAACGAGACTTGCTGGGAGACTTACAAGGTTTCTAAGCTGTCTAAACTCCTCAATCTGGTGCATTACAACATGCAGGACTCCCTCCGTGTCCTTGTGAAGAACTCACTGGTCAGCCTGACCAAGGTCGTGATGGATGCCTGCCACAATGTCCTGATGTGTCCTCAGGACTTTGTCTGGGGGAATGACCTAATCACTAGCCACTACAAGTACGATAAAATGCATTTGCACAACTTTCTCTTTTCCTTTTCCCATTTTTTGGACTTTGTAATAATGAATGAAATATAACTGATTACAATACTTAAAATAATAATTATTTATGTCTGTAATATAACAATTATCCATGTCTAGGCCAAAGAAGAATCCTATTTTCCTGGTGGACCTGGTTCTGGATGAGAGTGGGGTTCATTACAGCACCCCCTTGGAGAATTTTTCAGCATCTACAGTGAACCTGTTTGATAACAGCATTATGTGCACACGTAGTGTGCCTCTGCTTAATAGGGTAAATCAAATCTCCTGAGTAATACAGCATTCTTTACAAATGAGAATGCAATGAGGCTTCAAAATATAGTACTTTGAAAAAAAGGTTCAAGTAGTCTCTCTTTTTGTAAAATTTTACTAGGAAAAATGGGATGGAAACATTCAAGCATAGATGGAATTAAAGTATATAAGACAAAAACAGAGAATTTGTGTAGTTCTAAGGAGCTCGAAGATTAGTATTTACTATGACCACCTTGATTCTCCTGCACAGTCTGCACTCTCTTGAAAAAGCGTTCTAAGAGAGTGTAGTGTTCAGGATTAGTTTTTCAGGCTTCTTTAAGGACATTCAAAGCTCCTTGGATGTGAGTTGTCTTTCGTTTCATGACAGAGTCTCCACTGTGTCTTACAGATGGACACTCTTTTGTCCAACTTTTCATTGATTTGACTTGTGACAATAAATGCCTAAAGATACAATTTAAAAGTGGACCTTTGCAGCCTTTGAGTTAGGCACCGTTTTTATGTTTGAATTGTTCTCTGAAAATAAGTACTAACCCTAAAATTTGTAAAATAAATAAATAAATAAATAAATAAAAAGCAGCCAATGTCCAAAGAACTTTGAAAGACCTTCAGAAAGCCTGGATAACTACAGGGAGTGCAGAATTATTAGGCAAATGAGTATTTTGTCCACATCATCCTCTTCATGCATGTTGTCTTACTCCAAGCTGTATAGGCTCGAAAGCCTACTACCAATTAAGCATATTAGGTGATGTGCATCTCTGTAATGAGAAGGGGTGTGGTCTAATGACATCAACACCCTATATCAGGTGTGCATAATTATTAGGCAACGTCCTTTCCTTTGGCAAAACGGGTCAAAAGAAGGACTTGACAGGCTCAGAAAAGTCAAAAATAGTGAGATATCTTGCAGAGGGATGCAGCAGTCTCAAAATTGCAAAGCTTCTGAAGCGTGATCATCGAACAATCAAGTGTTTCATTCAAAATAGTCAACAGGGTCGCAAGAAGCGTGTGGAAAAACCAAGGCGCAAAATAACTGCCCATGAACTGAGAAAAGTCAAGCGTGCAGCTGCCAAGATGCCACTTGCCACCAGTTTGGCCATATTTCAGAGCTGCAACATCACTGGAGTGCCCAAAAGCACAAGGTGTGCAATACTCAGAGACATGGCCAAGGTAAGAAAGGCTGAAAGACGACCACCACTGAACAAGACACACAAGCTGAAACGTCAAGACTGGGCCAAGAAATATCTCAAGACTGGTTTTTCTAAGGTTTTATGGACTGATGAAATGAGAGTGAGTCTTGATGGGCCAGATGGATGGGCCCGTGGCTGGATTGGTAAAGGGCAGAGAGCTCCAGTCCGACTCAGACGCCAGCAAGGTGGAGGTGGAGTACTGGTTTGGGCTGGTATCATCAAAGATGAGCTTGTGGGGACTTTTCGGGTTGAGGATGGAGTCAAGCTCAACTCCCAGTCCTACTGCCAGTTTCTGGAAGACACCTTCTTCAAGCAGTGGTACAGGAAGAAGTCTGCATCCTTCAAGAAAAACATGATTTCCATGCAGGACAATGCTCCATCACACGCGTCCAAGTACTCCACAGCGTGGCTGGCAAGAAAGGGTATAAAAGAAGAAAAACTAATGACATGGCCTCCTTGTTCACCTGATCTGAACCCCATTGAGAACCTGTGGTCCATCATCAAATGTGAGATTTACAAGGAGGGAAAACAGTACACCTCTCTGAACAGTGTCTGGGAGGCTGTGGTTGCTGCTGCACGCAATGTTGATGGTGAACAGATCAAAACACTGACAGAATCCATGGATGGCAGGCTTTTGAGTGTCCTTGCAAAGAAAGGTGGCTATATTGGTCGCTGATTTGTTTTTGTTTTGTTTTTGAATGTCAGAAATGTATATTTGTGAATGTGGAGATGTTATATTGGTTTCACTGGTAAAAATAAATAATTGAAATGGGTATATATTTGTTTTTTGTTAAGTTGCCTAATAATTATGCACAGTAATAGTCACCTGCACACACAGATATCCCCCTAAAATAGCTACAACTAAAAACAAACTAAAAACTACTTCCAAAAACATTCAGCTTTGATATTAATGAGTTTTTTGGGTTCATTGAGAACATGGTTGTTGTTCAATAATAAAATTATTCCTCAAAAATACAACTTGCCTAATAATTCTGCACTCCCTGTATTGCTCAAGACTACTTTGGAAAATCAGAAGAAGCTCTAGCTCCTTGGAAGTAAAATGCAAAGAAATGGGGGGTACTCTTATAATGATGAATCTTGAAAGTGACACTGATATTTGAATAGTTTTGCATGTGCCTGTACCAGTTTGTGTTGCAGAAGTTATTTATGGTTGGGGAGCCTTTACTTGAGTCAGTGCATTTGGAGGAACCACAAATAACCGAGCTGAGGGAGAACATCCGTAATGTTCTAATACAAGCAACCATACCTCTCAGGGCTTATGCTGCTGAGTATGAGAAGTACTTAGAGCTGCACAATTTGGACATACAAGCTTACATTCTCACGTAAGTCTGTGTTTGAAGTGACGTGCCCACTTTTCACAAGTGTGAGATGTGGGTCTGTTGGATATGTGGCCTATTACTGAATGAACTCGTGCTTTTCTTGTTTCTCTCATGTCCCCATCATTTGGCTACCAGATCTTGTGGTGCAGAAATGACATCCCAAGAACTGAAAAAAGAGGTGCAGCAGCATCTCAAAGAAAAGAGAATAATTGAACAGTCCTTGCCATCCTCCCTAGTGATTGGTCCATTTCATGTTTGTGTTAACGGGGTACGCAAGTCTCTCTCAGAAAAGAGAAAGGAGTTAGCCACAGCACTACTAGACCACCTTGCTCTGAAGCTACGTATTCAGGTTGACCAGGTAAGGCTAAATATTTTCTTCTAAGAGAACATGAATAATAATAACTTTAATTGCTATTTATTTATTCATTTATTTATTTTTATTTATTTTTAAAGACATCCTTAAATTCAGCTTGAAATGACATTTTTCTTGTTTTTCTCTTAAACTTTGGTTATTTTTTTTATGTGTAGGCATGTGAAGAATGTGAAATTATTAACAGAAAGCTACGTGAGAAACCCTTTGGCATCGAGGAACTGAGTGAAAAGAGGCAGTGGATGAAACAAATCCCAGAACAGCTTAAGAGTTACAAGGTCGAATGGGTGAAGTGGGTGTTTCTGTAGTACATATTAAATTAAGAATTACTTTATGAATCCATCCTTCTTTTTCTCATCTGCAAACAGGAACATCTTGCCAAGACCTTGTCAGACTACGAGCTCATAGAAGAATTTTTCCACTCTCTTCCCAACAATGATGTCAACAAAAAGTAAGTGTATGATTAGCGTTAGTTAAAAGGGAATTTGTTTTAGATACCTTGTAGGAGACTTTGTGAGATTTATAGTGACTTATCTGTGCAGGTGGAAAGCCATTGAATGGCCACAAAAGATAATCAACCAAATGGAACCAGTAGCCACCCAGCACTTGGAGGATGAGGAGTGCTTCCGCAAGATCCATCTAACTGAGCAGAGCAACTTTGAGGAGCATTTAGCTAATCTACAGGTCAACTCAATCGACTATATTTTTTACTTTTAGCTTTTCTTTCCAAGCTTCTTAGACTACGATGACCTGGATGACTGAGAACCTTCACAGACTTTTAGCTGGAGGTTTCTTCCTGTTAAAACTGAGTTTTTTATACCAAATGTCGCCAAGACCGTCATCAAAGGGGGTCATCTGTTTGCTGGAGTTTTGTCTGTATTTTTGTAGGGTCTTTACCTTACAAAATAAAGTGCCCTGGAGCAACTCTTGTTGTGAATTGGTGCTACGTAGATAAAACTGATTTGAATTGTTTTTTGCTTTATTAAGCAGACACTTAGAGCAGCGTGTCCACTATATGACAGAGCTTCTAATTATACTGATGTTGCATGGTTCTAAAGTAGTCACTGTATGTTTCTAGATGATTGTTGCTAGGTTTGCGAGCCATGGAGACATTGATCATGCCCATGAGATGGCCAACAAGGTCAGGCAGACAAGCAAGCAACTTAAGGAGTGCCAAACTATGGCCCAAATTTACAACAACAGGGAACGCTTGTTCGGCATGACAGTCACAAATGTAAGTAAAACAGTGGCTCGGGTTAAAGGATTTTTGTGTGATTAATTCAAAAACTAAAGAGTATCTATTTATTATGGGCATTAATGTTTATTACAGTATGACCGTGTGCAGAAGCTTGTAAAAGACTTCCAGCCTTATAGAGATTTATGGACCACCACCTCTGATTGGCTGCGCTGGAGTGAAAGCTGGTTCTGTGACCCACTGTCTTCCATTGATCCTGAGCAGGTTGAGCACATTGTCACTGAAGCCTACAAGACCATCCACAAATGTATTAAACAGTTCAACGACATTCCTGGTAGGTGATACGTGTATTACCATTTAAACTTCACAAAGCTGTGCCTTCCATTTCAAAATATGACTGACATTGTTGTTTTTTAATGGGCTTTTCTTGGTGTCTTACACAACTCTAGACTGCCAAATGGTGGCAAATCTAATTCTCAGCAAGATTGAGGACTTCCGTCCTTACGTCCCTCTAATTCAGGGACTAAGGAACCCAGGGATGAAGAGCCGCCACTGGGAGATGCTTTCAGAACGCACTCAAATTAAAGTCATGCCTAAAGCCAACTTGACCCTGTCTCACTGCCTGGAGCTTGGCCTACAGAACTACGTGGATGACATAGCTCAAGTGGCCGAGGTGGCTGGGAAAGAATACTCTATTGAACAGGTGCTGCTGAACAAGAATCCTTGTTTAAACTGTTTCATATAGTGTTTGTAAAAAATTTTTTTAATGTTGTGTCTTTTTTTTATCATCTGCAAAATGTAGTTCAGATAGGGATGCTTCTGCTGTTTTAAAGCACTAGGGACTCTACTCATTTTGGCTATGTACACTGTCAGTGTGTGATTTTTTTTTTTTTAGCTAAAACTGATGCTGCTTCCTCTTTTCTCCCATACCTTTTCACCCAGGCCCTGGAAAAGATGGAAAAAGAGTGGTCCACAGTAGTCATTGATGTTTTGCCCTACAAGAACACAGGAACTTACATTTTAACGAGCCCAGATGAAGTGTCTCAGTTGCTCGATGACCACATTGTCATGACACAGAGCATGTCCTTGTCCCCCTTCAAAAAAACATTTGAGGCACGAATCAACTCCTGGGAAAGCAAGCTCAGAATGACTCAGGTGCACAACATAGACACCTATCAGCTGTGGAAGTCTTGTGATTTGTGTTTCTCATGTTGTGCTGCTGCCCTCTTTTGGTGTATACAGGATGTACTGGAGGAGTGGCTGATGTGCCAGCGTTCGTGGCTGTACCTAGAACCCATATTCAGTTCTGATGACATCAATCAGCAGCTGCCTACAGAAGGAAAAAGATACCAGCAAATGGAGCAAAATTGGAGGAGTATTATGAAAAGTGCCTTTAATAATCGAAAGGTCAGAGAGAGGCTTAGAGTTCTGTGTGGAACTAGAGAATACTGGTGGTTCACAAGTTGTTGTGGACTATATATGATTGTTTTTGTGAATGTTTCTAGGTGATCAATCTGTTTCCAGATGCTCATCTACTAACGCAACTTAAGAATTGTAACGGACTTTTGGAACAGGTGCAGAAGGGTCTCAGTGAGTACTTGGAAACAAAACGAAGTTTATTCCCCAGGTAAGACACAGACAAAATAGATCAGCGTTAAAAATATATATTTTTTAAAATTAATTATTTATTTTTTTAATTTTACGTGAAGAGCTTTTGTAAATCAACTTTTTCTACGTGCCGTCCCAAACAGTGAGGAAACCCCTCAAAACTGCCTTTTCCTGTTACCTGTTATAAAGATTTTGAGTGTAGGTAACAAAGTAACTGTGTTTGATGCACCCTAAATATTTGCTTGTAGGTTTTACTTCCTGTCAGATGATGAGCTCCTGGAGATTCTGTCCCAAACCAAAGATCCCACTGCAGTTCAGCCACACCTGCGTAAATGCTTCGAGAATATTGCACAGGTTTGCTTTGGCTCACTATTACATATTAAGACAACATGTGCAAAACATGGCTAAAGTAGTTAAGTAATGAAGTTGGATTTCTATCGTTTCTTAGCTTCAGTTTCAGTCAGACCTGCAGATCACACACATGTACTCTGGAGAAGGGGAACAGGTAAAACTGTTCTTTCCAGTTTGTCCTACTGGTAATGTGGAGGACTGGCTGAGGGATGTGGAGAAGTCTATGAAAGCTACTTTAAGAGATAACATTGACCGGTCACTCAAAGACTACCATGAGGTACATGAACCTGAATTTTATTGTTTTTCACACGTAATAGGCATTTCAATAAGATGCTATGTGATCTATTTTCTCAGCAACCACGTGTAGAGTGGGTGTTATCATGGCCTGGTCAAGTGGTGATAGCAGGCTGTCAGGTTTTCTGGACCGCTGAGTTGTCAGACGCTTTGGAGCAGAGAAACTTAGCCACTCATCTTTATCCCCAACTACAGACACAGGTGTGGATGTGATTTAGACTAGCCAGTCAAAAATATTGCCATTTTATGGCTCTCATTGCACTGAACACTGTTCACACGAGAGTCTAACAACCTTGTTAACATTCTACCTTTTTTTGTGAAGTTGGGGGACTTGGTGAAGCTTGTGCGAGGACAGCTCTCCAAGATGCAGCGAGCTGTGCTGTCTGCCCTTATTGTCATAGAAGTCCATGCTAAAGATGTAGCAGCCAAAATGGTGGAGCAGGAGGTCTCAAGCATCAATGACTTTGAGTGGATCAGCCAGCTAAGGTTTCCTTCTTATTTTGCTGTTGTTTTTACTTCAGTTCCTTCATGGGGTAAATGTGAAACATTGTAGGTGCAGAAGGAGTGTTACATTTATGCGATGCTGTTTGTAGATACTACTGGGCAAAAGGTGATTTGTACATCCGCGCAGTGAATGCAGAATTCCTGTATGGCTACGAGTACCTTGGTAACTCTGGGCGGCTGGTCATCACTCCACTCACTGACAGGTAAAGGTTACTCTACCCTGCTTTTAACTGAATATCATTCACCAGTTTGAACACTAATCTGGCTTTTTTAGATGCTACTTGACCCTGACAGGAGCTCTGCACCTGAAGTTTGGAGGGGCACCCGCAGGTCCAGCAGGCACAGGAAAGACAGAAACAACTAAAGACCTTGGAAAGGCTCTGGCGATCCAGACGGTAGTTTTCAACTGTTCTGATCAGCTGGACTTTATTGCAATGGGCAAATTTCTCAAAGGACTGGCCAGGTAACAGCTTGTTGGTATGACACAATGATTCAGCTGTTACAAAATGTAGCACCGTACATTTGTGATTCCTTATCTGGCTCACACTTTGTAGCTCTGGTGCCTGGGCCTGCTTTGATGAGTTTAATCGTATTGATGTTGAAGTGTTGTCCGTGGTGGCGCAGCAGATCACCACTATACAAAAGGCCCAGCAGCAACGGGTGAGAAGCTGATTGCACTTTTTTACACTTTCACACCCCCCTACCTACCAGCTACAGATTTAAGTATCACTTAAATATGTATACATATATATTACCTAATTCTTTTTATAAAAGATAATTATGCATGTTATGTATGTTATTTTTTTAGGCAGAGAGGTTTGTGTTCGAGGGGGTAGAGATCCCTCTTGTCCCCTCTTGCGCGGTATTCATCACTATGAATCCTGGTTATGCTGGCCGCACAGAACTGCCTGACAATCTCAAGGTTTGACATGATAACTCGAACTTAATTGTGTCATTGTAACACTGAGGATAAGCTGATGAGGTTCAAAAAATGAGATCACATCTTCCACAGGCCCTGTTTCGTCCCGTGGCCATGATGGTCCCTAACTATGCGATGATAGCTGAGATCTCCCTATACTCATTTGGCTTCAGTGATGCCAAAGTTCTCTCCAACAAGATCACAACAACTTTCAAACTCTCCTCTGAACAGCTGAGCTCTCAGGTATGAACTCAGAGGAGTCTTCATACCTCCTCATAGATGCTATAAATGGCACCACCAGTGTCATTTACAGCAGAAAACTGAAACGATTGTATTTTATACACAATCTGCCACAGTTGGGAGTGATACACTACTCTCTACCAGTGAGCATTTTTATCACTCATTGGTAGAGAGTCTTCAAATTTTCTGCTTTTTTCTGGTAATTTTTTTGTGGTTTGTGTAGTTTTGCTTTAATATTGATGTTCATGTTGTGTTTGTTGTTTACTAAATGATGAGAACAGCTAACTAAACTGCAGTAAATCTGGTCAGTTTGAACAGAAATTCATTTTTGTTTTTATTAGTTTTTGACTTTGTAAAATTGGCAAATAGGACATTAAACTGTATGTACAGTCATAATGTTACAAAGTGTTGAACTCTGTGATGACCTTTGTGTTTTGTCCTGTGAAGGATCATTATGATTTTGGTATGAGAGCTGTTAAGACTGTGATCTCAGCTGCTGGAAACCTAAAAAGGGAAAATCCGAACATGAACGAGGTGCCATTATTTTTCTCTTGTGTGTATCTAGAAGTAGATTTGTGAGCTGTGAAAAATCTTTTGATTACAAATTTTAAAATGATATTATTTTTCAATCTGTCCTGTAGGAGCTGATTTGTCTTCGGGCCATTCAAGATGTCAATGTACCAAAGTTTTTACAGGACGACCTGAAGCTCTTCAATGGCATCGTGTCTGATCTTTTTCCCAAGATAAAACAGGAGCCGATCAATTATGGCACACTGGAAGAGTCCATTCGTAATGTCTGCACTGCGAAGAACCTCAAAGATGTCGATGGTCAGTGTTTCTAAAAGTGTTTCTTTTGTCTTTATTTTTGAATGAGTTAATAACAGAACTGGTGGGCATTCCAGGGTATATTAATAAGTGTATTCAGCTGTATGAAACCACTGTGGTGAGACATGGCCTGATGTTGGTGGGACCTTCTGGATCAGGGAAAACCAAAGTGAGTCATTTTCATGTTGTTCTTGTGTTTAATGTTTTTGTGTTACTTTATCTTAATAAACACTGTGCATTTTAGTGTTATGAGATTCTAGGTGCAGCAATAACAGCTCTGGAGGGCCAGCCCTCTGTGAGCGGTGGTGTTTACGAGGCTGTTCAAACATATGTCCTCAACCCAAAGTCAATTACCATGGGACAACTTTATGGAGAGTATGACCTGCTCACACATGAGTGGTAAGAATGCCCCTTCTGACACGATTTATAGAGGAGTTTAAAAAAAGGCACCAACATTTTGGCTTTTTTTCCACCCGTGTAGGACAGACGGTATCCTCTCGTGTCTTATTCGCCAAGGCGTAGCATCTATGGACCAGAAGAAAAAGTGGTACATGTTTGACGGGCCAGTGGATGCTGTGTGGATTGAGAACTTGAACACTGTCCTGGATGACAACAAAAAGCTTTGTCTCAGCTCTGGCGAAATCATTAAGCTCACCGACGTAAGATGAAGGTTTCGTTTTCCCAACCTTGGGTTTTCAGTCAGTCTGTTATCTCTTCACCAATTTTGTTTTGCATCTTTCTCGAGTAGGTAATGACCATGATGTTTGAGGTGCAGGACCTGGCAGTTGCGTCTCCAGCTACAGTGTCTCGCTGTGGTATGGTTTACTTGGAGCCAAGTATTCTGGGACTCACCCCTTTCACAGAGTGCTGGCTGAGGCAGATTCCTAAAGCCCTGAAACCATACAAAGAGATGCTCAGCTCTCTGTTTGACAGGTTTCTGCAGGTAAAAGAGTAGTCAACATAACTGAGACAGTATAATATTAAAGCTTCTGGCTGTTACAGTGTTTATAAAAACAGTTTAATTCTCTGTATTTTATTCAGGACTCCATTACATTTGTCCGCACTTCAGTAAAGGAGGTCATCGCATCTCTGGACAGCAACCTTACCTGTAGTCTGCTTAAAATGATGGATTGCTTCTTCACTCCCTTCAATATTAAAGAGGTTTGTGTCAATCTTGGCTGTGTCAGAATGTCTCTTATAATACTCATCCTTCCCTCACAAGTCTTTCATCATTGTTTAGGGTGAGAGGCCACCACCTCAAGCGAAATTGGACCATCTAAAGGAGCTGATTGAGCCCTGGTTCTTTTTCTGTCTGGTGTGGAGTGTAGGAGCCACAGGAGATGCAGCTAGTTGCCAGCGCTTCAGTGCGTGGCTCAGAAGCAAAATGGGAGAAGAGAGGGTCAGCTTATCATCTTTGCTTTGGCATCCCAGACACATTGAATATATATTAAGTATAATATATGTTCACTGGATAATTTTTGACAGCAGTTTATTTCAACATTGTAAATGTATTTCTCCTTCAGATCAACTTGTGTTTTCCAGAAGAAGGCTCAGTGTATGACTACAGACTTGATGATGGAATAAGGAATCAGGATGGTGACGATGAAGATGAGGGAGGAAAAGTAAACGAACAGAAATTTTTGCATAGATGTTAGATGAAACTATTGCTTCATTTTTTGCTGAGTCAGCCTTTTTTCTGTACTATAGGTCCAGTGGGTCAGCTGGATGAAGTATGCAGAGAGTGTAGTAATCACCCCAGAAACAAATTTTTCAGACATTATTGTTCCAACTGCAGACACAGTGAGAATGTCTTTCCTGTTGGATATGCTTTTAACCAACAAGAAACCTGTGAGTGCAGCTTCCTGTGATTAAAGTAATTTTTAAGGTTTTCAATGGAAAGTTGAAAATGTTGAAAAGATTAAAACAGTTTAATCTGTTTAATGTGTGTGTGTGTTTCCAGGTGCTCTGTATTGGGCCAACTGGCACAGGAAAGACCCTGACCATGTCAAATAAGTTGCTAAATAGCATGTCTGCTGAGTATATCACACACTTCCTCATGTTCTCTGCCCGCACTTCAGCCAATCAGACTCAAGATTTCATTGACAGCAAAGTAGACAAAAGGTACCGAGATGTGTTCCAAATTAAACCAACTAGATATTTTCAGCAAGGCAACAATATCGCTGAGCCTCGCCCTTTGATTGGTGCATGTGCTTGTGTGTCAGGTGGAAAGGTATGTTTGGACCTCCAATAGGGAAGTACTTTGTATTTTTCATCGATGACCTAAACATGCCCATGTTGGAGACCTATGGGGCTCAGCCTCCCATTGAACTGCTGAGGCAGTGGATGGACCACGGAGGCTGGTACGACAGGACTCAGATAGGTGAGAGCTTTCAGCCTATTTCATGTTCTCACTTTTACTGTTCCCAGGAATATTTCTGTGTAAACATTTGAACCTTTTAGCTTCATTTTGTATTAATTGCCTAGTTGTACCATCTGAGGACATTCTTACAACATTGATCGTTCATGTTCCAACACTAAAATTTGTGTTTTATTTCAATATTTTGGATCAGAAATGAAGCGTTCTCTTTTTGTTGGTACACAGGGACTTTCAGGCAACTAGTGGATATCAATTTTGCCTGTGCCATGGGACCCCCAGGTGGAGGGCGAAACCCGATAACTCAGCGCCTCACACGTCACTTCAACTTCTTGTCGTTTACTGAACTGGATGATGCCAGCAAGAAAAACATTTTTTCTACCATTCTAGGAAGTTGGATGGGTAAGCAGAACTACCGAGTCCTACCACTGGGTTTGAATTTAAGACCACATGTTAACGTTATGTTAGTGAATGCAGGATAGATATTAGCCTAAAAACCATTCTGGCTCATTATTTGTTCTCTTTCACATGGAAATATGAATAAAAAGGAACCAGGCAGTGAGTTTAGGGATAGAGAAAATGGAAATGTTCCTAATACTCAGTCAGTTTTATACGTGTTTCTTTAATACAAAAAGAACTAAAGTGTTTTTGAATTATGGTCAGGTAAAACAGCTCAATTGTTAAATGGAGGATTTTGGAAAAAACAAACTTGGACCAGTGCTTTGTGAAAGTCTTCCAATCTAATGCATTTCTTTATTTCTCTGTGTGTCTCTCTATCTCTCTCTTTTTTTCCTATCAGCACCCGTACCAACAATCCAGCCACTGAATGAGTCTCTTGTAGATGCCACTATCCGAGTCTACTCTACCATTACCTCCCAGTTGCTCCCAACTCCAGCCAAATCCCATTACACTTTCAATCTCAGAGATCTATCCAAAGTCTTTCAGGGCATCCTCATGGCTGAAGCTAGAATGATAGAGGTGAGTCTGACATGATTAGTTATGTTGGTAGTTATGATTAAATAGTCATATTTATAATGTTGAATACATTGTAGGTCTATCCTTTCGTTTCCTAATGTCACATGACTTTATTCTTTACTGTAACCAATGAAATAAGTAATGTCATTACATTATAGCACTTTAAGATCGACCTGCAAAACTCAGACGACAGGACTTACAGATATGAGCAGAGCATTAATAATTCAGTGGCAACTGCTGAGATTATTTTAAAATCCCAAGTCCAAAGTTAGCTTTTTTGTTTGGGTTTTTTTGCTTGTTTATTTTAGGATAAAGTACAGCTGCTCCACCTGTGGTACCACGAAAGCTGCCGGATTTTCCAGGACCGCCTGGTGTGTGATGAGGATAGAGAGTGGTTCAAAGGGGTCCTGAAAGACTGCATTGAGGAATTTGACTGCTGCTTTGAAGAGGTTGTCCCCTGCCATCCTGTTTTGTACGGAGATTTCATGGATCCCAGAGCTGACCACAAAGGCTATAAACTCATAGATGACAAAGAGAAGGTGAGCGCTGTTACTCCAGCCTTAAAAATTGTTTCGGTGGGTGATTTTTTTTTTTCTTTTCACTTTTTCAAACAGCTGATTTATAATCATGGATCTTTTTCTGTTGGCCTCATGAATGTGTTTTTGTCCTTTCAGCAGAACTAATTTTAATCTTGTTTTTCTTTATATGAAATTGTCTAGTTGGTAAAAGTAATGGAGGAGTACATGGAAGACTACAATCACATCAGCATGACCAAGATGAAACTGGTGCTCTTTATGGATGCCATTGAGCACGTGTGTCGTATCAGGCGGATCTTGCGGCAGCCCCTAGGCAATGCCCTGCTCCTTGGAGTGGGTGGCAGTGGACGCCAGTCACTCACTAAGCTGGCCTCTTATATGTAAGATTCCTATCATTCTTATAGCTGAGATGTATTTGAGATGTAGATTCAGTAACATACAACTATCAGCCTTTGGTTGCTTTTATTTTACGTTAAAGTTTAATTGTTATAGAAACATGGAGAATGTGCTCCAATCATGTTGTGGCTCAGCTTTCACAAAGCATTTGTTCATACTCAGATCAGAATATGAGTGTTTCCAGATTGAGCTCTCTAAGAACTATGGCCACACTGAGTGGAGAGAAGATATTAAAAACATCATGTTCAAGGCAGGCCTCCAGAACCAGCAGATCACCTTCCTCTTTGTAGACACACAGGTATACTGCCGCACATTCTTACCATCTGATATTCTTGACTGTATAATAAGCTGAAGAAACTACATGTGTGGATATGTACTTTTACTTACTACGCAAAACCTGAGTCAATTTTTAAACTCACTGTTAAAAGTTAACTGTTAAATGTCCAATCACCAGATTAAGAGTGAGTTGTTCCTGGAGGATATCAACAGCATTTTGAATAGCGGTGATGTGCCCAACCTGTATGCATCAGATGAGCAGGAGCGTATCCTGATGGGAATGAAGCCAGTGGTGCTAGACCTGGGCCACCAGCCAACTAAAGCCAATCTTATGGCTGCCTACATCAGGAGAGTTCGCAGCAATATTCACACTGTTCTCTGCATGAGGTTAGTAACGCTGAGTTTTAATGTGTAATCTCCCTTTCCTGCTGCTTATATTTGCATTCTTCTTTTTTTCCACTACAGTCCCATCGGTGAGGTGTTTCGTGCACGAATGAGGCAGTTTCCTTCACTGGTGACGTGTTGTACCATAGACTGGTTCAGCACTTGGCCAGAGGAGGCTCTCCTGGCTGTGGCCACATCATTTCTTAGTGAGATACCTCAAGTGGAAGCAAACCCAACTGCCATGAGGGGACTGGTGAGAATCCTGGATTTTGTGTCTATGCATGTAGACAAAGCCAGAAAGCACTATGTTCAAAGTATATGTAATAAAAATAAGACATTGTAGCAACCATGGTGATAGCTTTCACACATTTAAAGATGAAGCCAATTTGCCACCGGTGTTAAGTTTGAGAGTTAGCATTGTATACTTTCCTTTTTCATGGGTTAATTGATCATTTTTATTCCCTATATAGTCAGCATCTGTCTTTATGCTTTCTTTTTTCACATTAAGGGCCAAATAAGTTTAAAAAAAAAAAACCCATCCTGCTCTGTTCTAAAATCCTTCATTATTTGCAACTATGCACAAAATTGTTCAGACCTAAGAGATAAAAATGAATCGTTTGGAAATTTTAGGGAAAATGTACAGTAATCTGAAAAATGACTCTTAAACTGTTACGGGTTTGTGTTTTGCTGTGCCAAGAATCTGCATTTCTGCTTCTGCTGTTTGGATTTAGAGCAAATGTAAACGTTTCTGATGCATTAATATACACAAAAAGCAGCTTCCAGGTCTCTACAACACAGTTTTATCCTTTGATTTTGTAAGGTGACACAAATAGCTACACTAGTGACTATATTTTTTTTTTCCTAACTGATTTTTTTTTTGTAGACAACAATGTGTGTGAGGATTCACCAGATGGTGGCCAGGAAGAGTGAACAGTACATGGCTGAACTCTCTCGACACAATTATGTCACACCTAAAAGCTACCTGGAACTGTTCAAAATCTTCTCAGATCTCATTAGACGCAAAAAACAAGAGCTGTCTGGTTCTCGACAACGCATGAATACTGGTCTGGAGAAGGCAAGGCATTGTATAATAACAAGAAAATTCATGGTTCACGGTTTAAATTCATGCATTTAATGAGAAGTCTTAGTTGAATGTCTGTTATATGATGGTCCTGTAGCTTCTTAGCACTGCTGAAGGTGTGAGTAAAATGCAAGAGGAGCTGGAGACCATGAGACCTCTTTTGGAGGAGGCTGCTAAGGACACTAAAGTTACCATGGAGACCATTAAAGTAAGAAAACATTAATGTAGTTTTCTTGACCACAATACAGTCAGAGTTAGAGCAACCAAATCTGGGACCAGTTTCTTTTGTTCAGCATTGTATGAGGTGTGTATGCTTTGTATGTGTATGTTGAGTGTAATTCTTACTCTACATTACTAGAAAGACACAGTGGTTGCAGAGGAGACCCGTAGGTCAGTGCAAGAAGAGGAGGCAAAAGCTTCAGAGAAGGCCCGTGTTGCAGGAGCCATTGCAGCAGATGCTCAGAGAGACTTAGACGAAGCTCTGCCAGCCTTGGATGCCGCCCTGGCCAGCCTCAAGTCACTCAACAAGAATGATGTCACTGAGGTCAGGGATTTTGATAATGACTGGCTAAGATATTTCTCACATATCAGATATGTGCAGATGTACAGTATCAGTAACTTTTTAGTTGTTTTTTGTTTGGGGGGTTTATATAGGTGCGAGCCATGCAGCGACCTCCTCAAGGTGTAAAGCTGGTTATTGAAGCAGTGTGCATTATGAAAGGCATCAAACCCAAAAAGGTACCCGGGGAGAAACCTGGCACCAAGGTTGATGACTACTGGAGCCTGGAAGGGTCTGCTCCAGGACCCTGGAAAGTTTCTGGAAAGTCTCTTCAAATATGATAAGGTGTAGTATTATGACGAGACGTTATTGTTGACTTTCTCAGATTTGGTTTATGCTTCAAGTTCAGTGTTTGATGTTTGCAGTGTATTAAAGCAGCTTTTCTGCCTCCTATACTGCAGATAACATCCGAGAATGTGATCAGCTTATCAGCCATATATAGATATGAGGAATTTCAGCCAGCTTCCATTGCCAAGATTTCCAAGCTTGCACTTCCATTGCCAGTGGTGCGAGCCATGCATGATTAACTTGTGGCGAAGGCTGGAACTAAAAGGTAAAACTGTGTTAATTATTATTGTGACTAATACAATTGATATAGTATATGTCTTCAGATAACAGAGTCATCAAACCAGTAAATGTGGTAATTTGCGTGCAGATAGCTCTCCAGGCAGCCCAAGAGACTTAGCAGAACCCAGCGAATCTGGATAAAGCCAAAGAGAAACTGGCAGGAGTTGAAGCTGGGATTGCCACTTTGCAGGCCAAGTACCAGGACTGCCTAGCTAAGAAGGACGAGCTGGACAATAAGTATCAACTATGTGAGGCTCGCCTCGTCCGAGCGACAAGGTCAGACAACTGGGAGTAAAAATTACAGTTACAACCCACATGGCCAAATCAAGCAGTTAGAAACCATTCTTATATAGTAATGCAATGTTTCAGTCTATATACTAAACTGTTTGAATATACATAATATGAAAAATAAACAACAGAAGCAGAAAGGTTACATACCAGTTATATGTGTCCTTAAATGTTAGTCTGTTTTATATTTCCCAGCTTATTGGTGGATTGGCAGATGAAAAAGTGCGTTGGAGGGACAGTACACATTTGGATTACATGATCAGTAACGTAGCCGGACATGCTTCTGTCTGAGTATATTGCATACTGGGACCCTTCACTGTAAGTTATCATATAAAATGTTGCACTGTATCTGTCTATATTCCTCATTTAGCATGTCTCCATCTGGTCCTCTCCACATACATATACTGTATATGCAGTTATCAATGAAGCATAATTTGTGTGTTGATTATTTTTGTTTTTGTTTTTTTGTTTGTTTGTTTTTTTTGGGGGGGGGGGGGGGGGGGGGCAGGGAGAGTACCGAGCAGCCATGGCTAAAGAATTGCTGAAAGGTTTCAAAGAGCTGGGTGTTCCACACACTGATGTACCCAACCTGGTCAGCACTCTGGGAGATCCAGTGAACATCCGCACCTGGCAGGTTGGAGGCAATTTATTCATAGGAGTGCCTTATTTTGTTTTTTCACCCTTTCTGGGTTAATTTGACTTTTTATTGTGTTAATGTTATTTTTTATTTCTATGTGCCTGTAGATAGCAGGTTTGCCCAAGGACAACCTTTCTGTGGAAAATGGTGTGATTTCTCAGTACTCTCTGCACTGGGCCCTCTTCATTGATCCTCAGGGACAAGCAAACACATGGATTAAAAACATGGTGAGGTCAAACTGTGCTGATTATGTCAAAACTTGAGAGAAGAAAAAGAGCAGTATTTGGATATACACTGCCCAAAAAAGATAAAGGAACACTTTAACATACATTTAACTATACAGATATTTGCTTGGGATTGTGTTAGGAATTACAGGATGCCACATTGTTTGATGGAAATGAAAATGATTGACCTACAGAAGGCTGAAAAGATGAGAAGGGGAAGATGTCAGTGGCCTCTACCTGTAAAATTATTGCTGTTTTTGCCTCATTGACCCTCCAGTGTACCTGTTGTTAGTGTCATTAACACCAAAGCAGCTGAAACTGAAACTGACCCCAACCGCTACTTAACTGACCACATCAATATCCCATAAGTTTAACTATCTTGATGCTATAGTCTGATTAAAAAGTGTTCCTTTAATTTATTTTTTTAATGTGATATGTAATTATATGATCAAGTGTCAGTATCATAAAGTTTCTAGTGCACATAATTAATATGTTAACAACAACATCACAGGTACCTGCAGTGATGTGTAACAAACTCTGGACATATTATTAACACATACATGCTTAAATAGATTTTTGATTTACTGCTTACTCATAAATGTTTCCTGTGGTCACCCAGGAAAAGGACAGTGGGTTGGAGGTTGTGAAACTCAGTGACCGGGACTTCCTGCGCAGGCTTGAGAATGCAATCCGCTTCGGTAAACCCTGCCTCTTAGAGAATGTGGGGGAAGAACTAGATCCTGCTCTAGAACCTGTCCTGTTACAACAGGTAATTACTCACACACCTGCTGCAAACAAATGGTTCTTTTTATTTCAGTGTTATTCACCTTTCTAACACACCACTATGTTTATCTCACACCTATTAAGACTTTTAAGCAGCAAGGCCATACTTTACTGAAACTGGGCGATTCACTCATCGACTACCACGAGTCTTTCAAGATGTACCTCACAACCAAGCTGCCCAACCCACACTACTCTCCAGAGTTTTCTGCCAAAGTCACACTCATAAACTTCACCCTGTCACCCAGGTAACACACATTTTAATTTTAGTATCTGCTGTGATTATAATTTATTTAGTCCATAACTGAAAAGATTGGCAGGATGTTAAAATGTAATTGCTTGGACATTGTCCTGAATCCTGCAAACCTGTTTCTGTTAGTGATACTTACTCATACGGTCTAAATTTGTGGGACTGTGCATTCTATTTATATTCAGTGGTCTACAAGACCAGTTGTTGGGGATGGTGGTGGCTAAAGAGCAGCAAGACTTGGAGGTTGCAAAGAACCAGCTAATCACCAGCAATGCCAAGATGAAGCAGGAACTGAAAGAAATTGAGGATGAGATACTGTTCCGACTCAGCTCCACAGAAGGCAATCCTGTGGACAATGAGGAGCTCATCCGAGTGTTGGAGGCTTCGAAGATCAAAGCTGGAGAGATCAAGGTCAGGCAGTGGAAAGGTTTTGTGTCCAATATTGTATATCGGGGAAGTGTTTAAATAATTTTCTTTACACCCTTGTTCATAAAATGTTGGTGATGCATCATTAAACTTTTAAGCCACATTTGCTCTGTTTTCGATGTTGGGGTTTCTGGCAGGCTAAAGTGAAGGCAGCAGAAAAGACAGAGCAGAACATTGATGCTGCCCGTCTGGAGTATGTCCCTGTGGCTGTGCGTGCACAGATCCTCTTCTTCTGCGTGTCAGATCTGTCCAATGTTGACCCAATGTACCAGTACTCTCTGGAGTGGTTCCTGGGAATCTTTTTGTCTGGTATTGCCAACTCTAGAAGTGCAGGTAGTCAGCAAGATTATACACTGAACTACATGTGTGAAGATAACAAAATCACAAGAACCAGATGTGAACAATGTTATGGTAGCACCTTTTTTCTTGACATGTTTCACACAGACACAGTGGAGGAGAGAATCTGGAACATCAATGAATATTTCACCTTCAGCCTCTATGGTAATATATGTCGCAGCTTGTTTGAGAAACACAAACTGATGTTTGCCTTTCTCCTGTGCGCTCGCATCATGATGAACGACAAAAAGATTGACATGGTGAGTAACGGCAAGAAGGGGATCTGTCATCTTCTTTAAGCAGCCTAAATACACGTGATGAAGCTGCATCGCCTCCTTTTGACAGGTCGAGTGGCGCTACCTGTTGTCTGGAGCAATGCCTGTCCAACAGCTGGCCAACCCAGCAGTAAGCTGGCTGTCAGAACGTGCCTGGCAGGACATTTTAGGCCTCAGCACTCTGAAAAATTTTTCTAACCTGGCGCAAAGCTTCCCTGAACATCTGGAGGGCTTCAAGAAAATTTTTGACAGTAGCCAGCCTCACAGGCATGTAAAGCCAAACACCGTGCTAACACATTCACACTTTGCACCTTCATTTGTACGTTGCAGAAGCTGTGAGTGTCTAACAAGCTGTGCTTATGTCTGTATATTTGCCTAAAGGGAGCCCCTCCCAGGAGCGTGGGATGTCATCCTGGACTCTTTCCAGAAGCTGTTGGTCCTGCGCTGTCTGAGGGCTGACTGCCTCATTCAAGGCCTGCAGGACTTTGTTGCTGCTGAGTTAGGACAGCGCTTCATAGAGCCTCAGGTAAAGTACTTCTCCCGTCTTAAAATGCATAGTAAATCTCAGTTGTGTGCAGTAACATGACACTATGACACAGTATGTGATAACATCAATTATGGCTTATTTCTCTTTCCATCTTTCTGCAGACATCAGACCTGTCTGTCGTCTTCGCAGAGTCATCTTCCTCCACTCCCCTGATCTTTGTTCTGTCCCTGCACCGACCTGCTGCTGACCTCTACATTTGTATGTCATGAATTCTCCAAGAAATGAGCGCCATCTCTTGGCCAAGGCCAGGTCATTTTAGAAGGGGGGCTGGGAATTTCACTCTCTTCACACACACACTTGACTCACAGGAATTGCTGTAATACATTTCATGACAGGCCAGTGTCTTTTCTTTGTGAGATGGAATGAGAGCACCGCTGTGCTAATTGTTTTCACTATTTATGACCATTCAGGACATGTACTTAGGGCCATAATGGCTTAAGAAGCTTGAATGAATGCGACTCAGTGTCCAAACCTTAACGTCTGGCAACTTTTATAGCACAACTTTAGCGTTCATAGACATTAGCATCATTACTTGCAATTACGTGATCTTGGTCGTGTCAGGTTTTTGTATCCCCTTCTCAATTTCTGTCTTCACTGAGTGTCCAAACCTTTAGCTGTAGGCGATGCCTGAGGCCACGTCATTATTTTTTGAGACAGTTCTCCATATGATTAACCTATCAGAATGTGTATTTGGTGATTCAGGCCCTGGCTGGAGTATGATGCACATCCATGGAAAGAGGTCCTGGGTTTTTTCCAGACTGTCATTGACCCAGCTGGTGCTACCCTGAGAGACTTATTGAAACATCGACCCACTAAAGGTGACAACAAGGGACATATAAACCAGAAGCAAACGATCTCAGTGTGTATATGCTAGATAGCCAAGGACAAGAGCTTTTTCATCCTTTATATTCCAAGGGAAAATCTGTCTCTTTTCCTTACAGTGCACGGAACTTCCGCCTGTGGCTCACAGTCTTCCAGCCAATAAGTTCCGGTGTCTGTTCTGCGAATGGTCCAAGTGACATTGACTCCAGAGGCATCAAGGCCACTACAGAACCTACATGAGGCTCACTATGATTTCTCTCTCTTCACCAAGGTCTGTCTCAAGTACTTCTAGTGTTCTGATTGGTTTCCATATTTAGCTCCTGCTGCTTTGGTTTGACAACATATAGTAAAGTCTTCTCAAACCAGTGTGTAGATTTGCTATGAATGGTTCCTCTACTCTTCTTTCTTGTCTAGACAGCAGACTTTAAGTCTTTGCTGCTGTCTCTCTGCCTGTTCCATGGAATTGCTTTGGAGAGACGAAAGTTTGGCCCTTTGGGCTTCAACATTCCCTATGAGTTCACTGATGGCGACCTGAACATTTGTATCAGCCAGCTCAAAATGTTCCTGGATGAGTACCAGGACATCCCATACAAGGTGGAGGCAACACTTCTGTCTCTGTTTCATTACCTATTTGAAGATGATGTTTCAAATTGCTCCTACTTATACATACTGTTTCTTACAGTTATAAGAATGTTTCTTACAGATAGTTGATGTATAAGCTATAAGCAGAAACACAGGCCATCTAGGAAAGACGCCTGTGTTCTGGTTTTTGGTAGAAATTATGTGTGTGCATCTGCCTGTGCTGAGCATGTTCATTTGTCTGTCTCCCATTGCTGTCCTCCACCTGTCCAGGTTCTAAAATACACTGCAGGAGAGATTAATTATGGTGGCCGTGTGACAGATGACTGGGACAGACGATGTCTGCTCAGTGTGGTGGAGGACTTCTATTGTCCTGCTGTCCTCAGTAGTGATCACGTCTACTGTGCATCTGGAGTCTACCGGCAAATAGACACAAAACTGGATATCAAGGTTAGATAAACTCAGAACTCTCTGTTTACTATACATAATTTTGAGTTTATAGCAGGCTATTGATTGTGAGACAAGCAAAGTATAAAAGGCAAGTGTGTGCCTTATCAAACTTAAATAGGGGCATACAGTATGTTTGTTTTAAAAAACAGAAAAGAGTCATGCTATATGCATTTTTTGGAAGTAAGGCTAAGTTAGCCAAGCCTGGGGGGAAACATCAGTCATGTAAAACACCATGAGTCACACAGCCATCAAATACAAATCAGTCATAGAGAACAAAAGTTTCCACAGCTCAGAGAAGTTAAACTATCACATGAGTTACTGTGCTGCAATGCCACAGTGTGTTTCCCTTTGTGTGAGTTTGTTCTTTAACAAGTTCACAACAATAGAAACTGTTTTCTCTCTTCTTGCTGCCATTCTCAAACAAGGAAATATAACAAGAGAGGCGGTGAGTATTTGCCTGCAGTAACACAGATTGCAGAAAAGCCTGAAAGCTTGTGATTTAAGCTTAGACTAGAAATGCAGTCCAATCAAGACATTTTGTTAAAAATGCTGTAAAATGTTAACTCTGATCATGTCAAACACTGACTGCTTGACTGACTCGCTGTCATGGCAATTGTGACCCTAGGGTTATTTGGCATACATTCGTGGTTTGCCCATCAATGACACACCTGAGATCTTTGGTCTCCATGACAACGCTAACATCAGCTTTGCTCAAAATGAGGCCTTTGGCTTGTTAGAAGCTGTGGTTCGTCTCCAGCCCCGAGCTACATCTGCTGAGGGCAAAACTCTTGAGGAGGTACCGATACAGATTCATTTGTCTTTAGATGTCTTTATTATTACTACTAGCATCATGTTATTGATTGCTTAATAATTCAATTTAGCACTAATTGTTATTGATTGCTTTGTAATTAAATAGAGTTTGAGAGGTGCGGGGCATGTGATGTGTTGTCTATGATCTGTTTTTCTTTCTTCGCTACAGATAGTGGAGGAGATAGTGGCAGGCATCGTTGAAAAGATCCCTCCTCCTTTTGACATTGAAGAAGTGATGGGAAAATACCCGGTGCTCTACGAGGAGTCCATGAACACTGTGCTCATCCAGGAGGTCATCAGGTAACATTAGGCTGTACTATTAGTCAGAAATTTGTCCAGAGTGAGTCTGGAGGCTGAAGGTCCCAGAATCCGACTTAGCATCTCCCGAGTCATTCGTATTGATCAGCAAACTTTTTTTTTTTTTGTATATATAGAGAGTAGAAATATTTTGTCCATTAAGTGAAGGTTTTTTGTTATCACGAAGAAATTTGAGGAGGAATGAAACATACGGGGTCATTTCATCATTCCTCTGCAAGGTGAATGCTTATCTGTTTTTGTGGAACTATGCACAAAAAGAAATTTTTGCACATTAATCAACCTGATCTGGGAGTGTCTCATTACCTCACACATATTAGTAGATTTCTGGTAAGTCATGCCCTGAAAATTGCGTTTTACTCAAACTGTGGGCATGTGGTTATTAGTGCTTTAGTAACTTGTAATTGTGTTTGTTTGTTTTTTATCTTTCAGATATAACAAGCTGCTGGAGGTCATCTCTCTGAGTCTCAGAGATATTGTGAAGGCTTTGAAAGGTTCAGTGGTGATGTCATCCGCGCTCGAGCTTATGGCCCGCAGCTTATTCAACAATGCGGTGCCTGATATGTGGAAAGCCAAGGCAAGGCACACACAGCTGTTACTTTACATGTGACTCACTTTGTAGCAGGGGCTGCACATGTGAATGTATTCTCTTTTTTTCTCTCTGTTGTTATCCTTTTTTTTCTTCAAATTTTTGTATCACTAGATTGTGCACACTTGTGACTTGAATATTTGAAGTGCCATTTCACTGGGCAGAAAATCAAATAAAGATATTTCTGTTCTCCTCCTAAAATGTAATAATGTGCTTTCTGAGAATGCACAGTTTGACTCCGCTGTTCTCGTTCTTCAGGCCTACCCATCTCTGAAGCCTCTGGCCTCCTGGGTGTCAGACCTGCTTCAGAGGATCAATTTCCTACAGAGATGGATCTCTAACGGCATTCCACCTGCGTTCTGGATTAGCGGCTTCTTTTTCCCGCAGGCTTTTCTCACCGGAACCCTCCAGAATTATGCCCGTCGCTTCGGCACCTCAATTGACACGATTGGATTTGACTTTGAGGTCAGACTGTAGGCTGCCTCACTAGCAGCAATGTTTTAAAGAACAGTCTTACAGATGTAGAACATTGCTTCATATCTGTATGTATATAAAGTGCTACATTCATAATGACTTTACCCCCCACCCCAACCCTAACCCAGGTTTTCACTGGTCTTGACCTACTTTTTTGTGATGATTTATCCTTCAGGTATTAGTGAAGTCAGTGTCAGAGATAACAGAAACACCAGACACAGGCTGCTACATTCATGGTCTATTCCTGGAGGGGGCTCGCTGGGATAACAAGGCAGGTCAGCTTGCAGAGTCCAGACCCAAGGAGCTCTACACCCAAATGGCCGTCATCTGGCTGATCCCCAAACCCAACCGAAAGCCTCCAGCCTCAGGGATCTATGTATGCCCTATCTACAAGACACTCACACGAGCTGGTCAGTATATAGAGGAGTGATATAGATTAGTATAGAGATTATAAGAAATAATATAGATTAATTTGAGTTTTTTGTAAATTTGTGAGGAAAAAACAAAAGAAAAGTCCATGTTTGTGAAACTCTGGCTCAGGTTATGATCTGTAGTCAGTAGGTGTGCCGTCATAGGTTTGTGCGTATCCCTGTTTGCTGGTTTTATTACTCACCCAAAATAGACTCCAGTGAGGGTCTAATTTCATGAAGCATCTGAAAGTGCAGCTCAGTTTTTTCCACTCGCAATGCCAACGTCTTGGCACCTTAGGCTGCTCACAAATCCTTCCTTCAGTGTAGCAATGAAAAAACAGAAATGGTTTAAAACACTTTTGTCTTTAAGTCACTGAAGTGCTCTGTGTGCTTTTGCAGGGACTCTGTCCACCACCGGCCACTCTATGAACTATGTGGTGTCATTGGAGTTGCCAACACATCACACCCAGAGGCACTGGGTCAAACGGGGTGTTGCACTCATCTGTGCACTGGACTATTGAACGAGAAATTAGTTATTATTAGTTATTGCTGTTAGTTATTGGTTATCTACTTTAATCTATCTAATAAACTGTTCACAAGCAATATCCTCTGTGTTTATTTACCATCACTAAAAGCACTTGGTAATTGGATCCTTTTTTGTGTGTATTTTCTGCACAGCCAAATATACAACCGTTATTACCACTGACTAGTTTCACCTCCCCGCAGCGCTCATTTGATGCTTGAATATCCGTCCTGCTCCTTTAAGGCGGCCGCGTAGGTCAGTTGAGAAATATGACTTGACTGAAGGAGGGTGGCGCTTAAACTACTGTGACAGCGACTGGCCATGTGAATGCAGCTGAAGGAGTTATCAGCGGGAAACCGAGATCAACAGATAATCGTCACCACTGCCTCTTTTTTTTTTTTACCCCCAAACACGTCTGACTGGAATTTTCTTAAATGGTTCATTTGCGCTCAAATTCTTTTTTAGATTTTCTCTCACGGGCCACCCCGGATCGCTAAAGTTCAGAGAGCTACATTTAAAGAATAGAATTATAGTGTAGTTTCCCCAAATGGACTCTGACTTGTAAGCCTGTGTGAAGATAGAGTGGAGTCACTGTGGTAGAGTCCGCACGGGACAGGCGGATGCGTTAGAGGTCTCAGCTTTACGCATTTACCGGAGGAGGGCTGGACTCATCGCGTTAATCCGGAGAGTTGCTCACAGTTTGTCCCTCTGTGCACCGCTGTTGACAGCAAGCCGGTGTAAAACATGCTGCAAAATGGAAACGGAAAGCAAAAAGCTCCGCAACCGCCAAATACTGGTGGGACAGAGTCAGACTCCACGGATGGCAACCCGAAACTGCAGCAAGAGCAGCCGGCAGTTCTCCCAGCCGCCGACAAGAAGGACGCAGAGTCCACACACTTCCCCATGCCCACTTACCCTAAATTGGAGATAAAGCGAAACGCGGTGACGGACGATTATAAAGTCTCCAATCAGGTTCTGGGCTTGGGGATCAACGGCAAAGTCCTCGAGTGCTTTAACAAGAAAACTGGAGAGAAGTGCGCGCTAAAGGTATCGAAGTCTCATGAGTATATCATAAATTGTCCCCGGCCCTCCTGTTGACACTCTCACAGTATAACTGCAGACTTTATAGCTTTTAAGCGATAACTTTAGATCATCCCAGCTGAAAGAACACCTGTTTCTGATACAAGTTTATCTCTCACTTTGTTTGGATGTAATAACATAGATGTCGACTGTCCAGACTGGTCAATCCATTTGGAAAAACAGGCGTCAGTCCATTATGTTGGATTATGGTGGTGTGTCTAGGTATTTACTTATATCACTTACTGCTCCTCTAAATTTGATCCTAATCTAATGCAAGTATGGTTTAAATACCTAACTGTGTGGAAACACACATAAGGGTCCATAAGCTATCCTAAAGTGTTTGTTTGCACTGTGGGTTTAAAATATAAGAGTGGAAACTTGTGTAGACAAGAATCAAGAAAAACTTCTTCTCCAGGAGTTTGAGAAACAGGAGGCAACATCTAAAGTGCTGAAAGAAAGGTTGGAAGAAAAACAAGCTGTAATAGAAGAAGTGGAGAAAAAATGCAACAAGCTGCAGAAGCAAAACACCGAAACAATCGAGGAGCTGAAAATCCTCATCCTCGAGAAAAAGGTGCTCGTGGAAGAGCAGCTGAAGAAAAAGAAAAAACGCTTCTGCTTCTTCTGGAGGAGGAACACTCCTTCTTTCAGTACTGCCAATGTCGCCTCTTCCTCTCCCACCTCTGTTCCAGCTTAATTCCCCCCTTAACTACTAACACCTCTCCCATCTCCCTCCCCTCTTTTCACAATCACCCCCCAACCAGTCCCGACAGTTGACTGCCCCCTCTAGAGCCTGGTTCTGTCATAGGTTTCTTCCTTTAAAGGGAGTTTTTCCTATCCACTGTCGCCTAGTGCTTGCTCAGAGGGGATTGTTGGGGTTTTCTCTCCTCTCTCCCTTTACTTTCCATCCCACCCACCCCCACCTTTTCTTTTTTCTTAATAATTGAACAATAAAAACAATTGGCCGCTAATTAAATGTGTCAAATCAATGTCTTTATTCAAGAATACAAGAAATGGGTAATAGCTGCATGTGTGTTTGTGTGTGTGCATAATATGCATACTTTACGTGTTGGATCCAAATCCCACAAGGAATTAAATAAAACAAGAAGACAAACAAAAACAAATATTTCTCTCCCTTCCCAGGTCAGGAATCAGGATGAGGAAGAAATGAGGTCAGATCAGTGCAGGTTTTTGCACTACTGACATAAAGTTTCTGCTGATTAAAAAAAGTATGTCGATATTTCTGAAATACATTTGCAAACAAATAACTTTGACAACTTGTGTTTTTTCATAAAAGAAAAAAGAAAAATCAGAGAGCAGAGCTGGTAAAACAGCTTAGCTCCGCAGGTTACAGGAGATCAGATGCCAAATACTTTTCATGACAGTCTTCGTTATTGCATAAATCTCCCCTTTTATCATTGATCAGTAAATCACTGCATATACATTCATCTAACCGTTATAATTTCATGAGTAAAGACTCTCAGATGACTGAATGGCGGTTTTAGTAAATGTTGAACTTTATTGTGATTTCTATTTTTAGAATCAATTGCACACATTTTGATTTCGTTTTGCAAGCTGCTGATTTCACACAGATCCACTGCCCAAACGTGCCTTTGAGTTTTTCATCATTTAACAAGAATAGGCTCAGGCAATCATTGTGGAATTAGGCTTTGGGAAGGTCTGGGGACAGGTATGATGGTGGTGGTTTTAAAGCACTGTGGCACAACAGCTTGACTCAGGGAGATGTTAAAGATGCCCGCTAGGACATCAGTCAGCTGGTCAGCACGGGCTCCGAGCACGCGTCCAGGTATATTGTCTGGTCCAGCAGCTTTGTGTGGGTTGACTTTAGTGAGAGTCCTTCTCACACTGGCCGTGGACAGGGACAGCACTTGGTTGTCTGGCAAGCGGGTGGCCCTCTATAGTCCGTCTTGCATCCCATTTAAGCAAGTGCGTGTTCACACTGCCCCTGGATGTCCTGGCCTCTGAGGTTAAGGTGTACGGCTCCTGGTTGTCAGCTGACCAATTTATCATGGCAAAGTCTGTGGTGGACAAAAGATAAGAGGCTGATTATAAAAATGATCCATGCACGCCTTATGACCTACAGCATGTACAGTTAACACAGCTAAATGGCTGTGAAATTGTAAAATTACTTTTGAAATAAAGCTATTCAAAGTCAATTAACTGTGACTATAATAATAGCAATGTTAGCCAGCAAACAAAACGTTAGCACTAATTAAAATAAGCTGCTAGGTGATGTTACTGTTTCAAGTTCTCTCATTGTTTGACATGTAGGGCAGATATTTTGGTGACACTGAGATCAGCCAGACACTAAACAGCAGTGTAATATCAACGCTAGATTAGATGTTTTCTAATCCGATAAAATGACATTATTCCTGTTTATAGAAGATGTTTGTCGTCTGTTTGTTTGACTGACAGGAACAGGAAATAGTGGTTGGAAATTACTGTTGGTGTTACATGAGGGTAAAGAAGGGCTTTAAGCACCTGGGTAAAAACTGGACCCATGATGAAACACTACAACAAGTACAACATATTCTTCAGTTTTAATATGTGACCATACTGTGCAGACTGCTGATGAGTTACACGGTTACATTTCATTAATCATTGTTAAACTAAAGTGGTAAGCAGTTACTTTATCCTTTCACTTAAAATTTCCAGGAAAAACACTACCTTGGCTACTTTTGTGCTTACATTTGATCTATGCTGGGTCACTACTTTTGCACTATAATGCTGCTGCTGACACCTTGGTTCACACTGACAACTAGAAAAAAGCTGATAGGAAAAGAAGGATGGAAAATGCCTGGAATTTAGTTACACTTGCAAATACTGCTGCCTCCAAACTGCAAGCATCAATAAAATGTTACAGTATTGTTTTCTATCTGTGCATATATCCTTATTGGTAGTTTTCTCGAAATAGAAGCTCTTCATTTTAAAAAAAAAACCTCTGATAACATTGCTGAAGCTAGCGCCCACCCCTACTGCGCTACTGCAAATATAAAACTGATATATACTTACATCATGGAGCAGTTGATGTCTGGTTTCCGACAAATACAGTAAAGAGGTGCGTTCTCCCCCTCCATACCAGTGTTCTCAGGCACTGCTACATGGTCAGTGTCAGACACTTCACTGTCCTACAACATACCACATAGGACCACATTAGAAATGACATGTATGTAGACATGCTAATTATACCTGGCTAAATGGATGCAGTAACAAAATGTTACTAACTACTCTAGTTATTAGTTTCCAGATGTGTGCAGTTGCTCCAGTCTTACTGACAGTATACTGTTTCAAACACCAGTGCCAACATTTTATTTTTTAAATCTTAGTATGATTCTGCACCAAGACTTGTGGCCTGTTGCTCGGTAACTTATTGTCTGACTACATTAACTACAGTTCATAAACATCATTCATTTTCTCCTACTTATTTTATTCAGGTTGTATTTCAGCTGTCATAGGGCAAAAGTACACCCTGGACAGGTCGCCAGTCTGTTGGAGGGTTATTAGAGAGACTCAGACAACCACTCACACCAACAGCAACTAACCTAACCCCGCGCATGTCTTTGGAGTTCAACACCAGTCTGGCCGAATCACAGATAAGCAGGGTGTCTGTGCTGCAGAGCACAGCTGTGTCAGAGACTCTCGACATCAATGTAGCGTTAAGGATGCGGAGCGATGGGTGCACTAACACAATGTAAATATTAAAGTTCTCGCCATTGTCAATATGCTGTTGCGCTCTTGTTCGTATTATTGCAACCATATCTCGAGTCTAGCTTACCCTAAAAGTTTGGAGAGAATTGGTCTGTTAAGAAACGCAATCGATTGTTTGGGACTGCTCTAGCCATCACGTCGCATAAACAACTCTACTTCCGGTGGGAAAACTAATTAAGGGTAAAGTCGCACTAATAACACCTACCACTCACGTTCATAAGCATACACTATGATCACTTCCACGCAGTAACGTTGTAATAAATATAATCCCCGG